TAAGACATGACAAAATAATAATTTATAAATTATCAAGGGTTCATGAGGGAGGGGGTGAGGAGGGAGGGGAAAATGAGCTGATGATACCAAGGGCTCAAGTAGAAGGAAAATGTTTTGCGAATGATGATGTCAGCAAATGTACAAATGTGTTTGACACGATGGATGGACGGATTGTGATGAGCCCCCCAGTAAAATGATTTAAAAAGAAAAGAAAAGACAAGCCTATAATTAGTTCCAGGTTTGTTGACCTTTATGAGTGTTTTCAGGTTGAGTCTGAGGGGGTGCCATGCCCTGGCCCCAAAGTTTATTGTTGGTGTTCCCGGGGACTTCAATGCTTTTTGCTCCCCTTGCTGCTCTGTTGCACTCCCTTAGTGTTTTGCCCCGGTGAGCTAGTACTTTTAAGATTCTTGCTTTTCACCATAAAATGTGCTTTAAATTTTGGAAAATACAAAGTTTTATGGGGACACTCTTGTACAATTAAAAATATTTTTTATGAATTCTTTTATGATAAGCAGGCTATAATGTATCATATCTCAGCTATAAAAAATTAATAGAATACTGAAATGGAAATCCTCATTCCCCTGCTTGATCTATCTCAAGTTGTACTTTGGTTAATTTATTGTGAATGAAATGTATGTGAGTGACATTAATTAGTTAGGAGTAACTGGAGTGATAGAAGGGAAGTCTGAGCAGTTTTACAAGAGGTCCAAGTGCAGTAAGAAAGTTAGTGCTTTCAGACTGGAACGACGGTAAGGGGAAAGATGAGGAAGAGCCCTGAGCATGTAGTACAGATATTATACCAAGAATTTATTTAACTGAGACGACTGTAAAAGGAATTTTTAGTACTCACACACCTGGTGACATTTTAACCTTATCAATTGAAATCATAGAATATGGTGTAGATTTGTTAGTTTTTTGTTTCGCAATGTGAAGTGAATAATGCGTGTTTCCTAATAGATAAGACCTTTCATGAAAGCACATCTAAATCGAGATAAAGACAAAGAATTATTAAAGTTGACCCAATATCTCAAGGAAATAGCAAAATTAGATGATTTTTTGGAGCTAAATCACAAGTATTGGGAAAGGTAAGTGTTCCATTGCTGATTCTTTTTCTCTTACATTAATAAAATTTAAAATTGATGACACCAGTAAAAATTGGTGACACCAGTAATCACATAACTCTTCGTTTTTATTTAAAATGTGCGAATTTTACAAACATTATTCAATTCAGTGATATCTTCAGGATTTTTTTCCCTTCTTAAACTTCTAACTTGGTCATAAATCTAAGTAAACTCAAACATGTACTTCTATTGGAGAGGACTTTGGAGGTGGGTACATATTTAGGATATTAAGTTTTTTTAGGCAATTGGGAAGTAACTTCTTTATGCTTCACATGAGATGTAATCCTGCTTCTTAAAGAACCAAATACCGCCAGGATAAAATAAAACAAATATTTCCTGGAGAGAATTAAAATTAGTTTACATGTAATCTCACAGCAGGAAATCTTATTCCACAAGAAAACCGTTATTCAGCATCTTCCTGTTAAAAGATAACCACTATTATCATGTTGGTGGATAGTCTCCCACATGTTTTCAAAGCACAAGTACAAATCTAGATACAGTCCACACATGAACATCAATTTTGGGGAAGGAGCACCTCTGGGCCAGTGGAATGGATTATTATATACTGCAAGTCAGGTAGAAATGATACCTTTAAAGTTAAAACTACTTTACTTTTTATAGGATCCAGTAATACAGCCAAAAATGAACTGCTTGTTTAATAATAGCACTTTGGCTTTCAAATTTCAGATCACTTTGGCAAATGGCTTGTAGGAGTTACATAATCCTGTTCGGAAGATAAGGCAAATTCTGAGCATTTCTGTTCTCATCTTCATTTTGCAGGTGATGTCACTGAGTCAGGGAGGAAATAAATGCCCCACACTGAGCAAGCAACACCATTCCAACTCGTCCAGTTCTGACTTTAAGCACTCGTTCCTCACCTATGTCAGTGATTATAGTTGTTTGTAAACATTAGAACTCAAAAATGTACTGCCATTGAGTTGATTCTAATTCATGGCGACCCTGTAGGACAGAGTAGAGTTGTCCTTGTGGATTTCTGAGACTAACTCTTTATAGGAACATAAAGCCTCATCTTGCTCCAGCTGAGTGGCTGGTGGCTTCAAACAGCTGACCTTGTAATTAGTAGCCCAGTGTGGTTAACCTGCTTTACCACCAGGGCTCCAATATATCAGAATTACAGATACACATATTTAAATTTGGTAGTAGATTCCTTATAAATCAACTCCTATGCGTTTTTAACAATCTTAATTAAAGTCCTTTGGTGTCTTTGACTCCTCTTTATGCTTATCTACAGTAAATAAGTAGTCATGCAAAAAATAAATAAACTAGGGTTTATAAATGGAGGTTGAGTTCTATTTGGAAACTACAGTGCTAAAGACATTTCCTCCACATCCGTAGGTAAGTCAGAGGAGTGATGGTTGGCGTGCAGGCTCTGGGTTCCTTGTGAATCTGAGCACCGACACTTTCTAGCGGTGTGAACTTGAGTAATTTGATTAACTTGTTTAAGCTGTCAACAGATGTTAGAGATTAGCAGTTACTTGTTTTTAAAAGCTTTGTTATATCTTTAAAAGAGAGTTTGATATTTAGGAATTTATTGCCACACTGCTTTGACTCCTTTACTTTATTTCTTACAGGTATCTTTCAAAGAAGCAAGGACAGTAACTAAGTTATGCTGACAGTTACTGAAGATACTTGAGACCCATGAACTTCTTGCTGTTATGCTAGAAATCATTCTGATAGTGCTGGACACTGAAGCAAATACCAGACTGCTTATACTTGGTCTTCCAGTGTTTTGTAAATTTAATTTTATATTTTTTGAAGATCATAGCAATATGCTTTAAAAGAAATCCATTTTTCCTATATGTATATAAGAAATATTATCCCCAGCATTGATTAGTAAGTTTTTCCCCTACACCCCACTCACCTCACAGAAAATTTGCTCAAAGATGTTATTTTGTAACTTTGGAAACAAGTTACATCTTATGTTTTTGTCTCAAGTTTTTGTCTCACTAACTCAAAGACCAAACCCAGCTTGAAACTGAAGTTTTTCCTTTTAAAACCCAAAAAAAGTTTTTGAATAATGGTCCTCGTATTTAAGTATGTTTAAATTACCAAGTTTTTAAAAATTCATTTATCATTGACAGAATTTCTTGTCTGTGTGATCCACTACTTAGCTCTCTAAATTCTGAGCTGTCTCTGGTCTGTATGTGTGACACTGTTCTTTGAGTAAAACTGGAAATGATACAAATGGGTCATAGGATGAGAAATAGAAAACATAGACTAAAGAATAAATAAGGAAAAGAGTGTGCTTCTTTGTAGTGTTATAAAGCACGCTTGTCTGAAAAAAAAAATTGCTCTAAAAGCAATTAAAGGCAGTCACTTTTAAAGTGGGACATATCATTGTTTGAACCCTAAAAGCATGAACAGTTTTTGTTCTGTTCCAGCTGTTTCTGTCTAAGTGCAAACAGCGTGCTGCAGTAAAAATATCACCATAGGAATAAAAAATTGCATTGCTTAAGTCTGCACTATAGCTTTGTAATTGGCCCTGTTTTGTGTTGACAGTATTGCTTTATAGAGTTACTGTATTTGAAAGGAATCTCATCCTTTTAAATGAACATGGTGTATATTGTTCTTATGGGACTATTTCAGTGGTGTAAATAATAAATACCTTTTCTTAAAACATTGGTTATCCAAGTATTTTGCTTTCTTGTTGAATCATAAAACAAGTGGGTTCAGATAAGGCCCTTTTCAAAATAATTTGTATGATTTTTAAAAAGGTATATCACTATTATATTAATACGTTAAATAATGGTTGTAGCAGCTAATTAACCCAAACAAAAAGCATACCTACCTGCCATTAAGTCAATTCTTATTCAAAAACCCCTGTATAAGGTAGTCAAGGTGGTAAATCTTAGAGGGAGCAGATGGCCTGAACCTTAGCCTGTGGAGTGGCTGGTGGGTTTGAACTGCTGACTTTGCAATTAATAGCTACACTTACCTGATGTCACCACTAGGGTCCTGTATACATATATGAGGTAACTAAATCATGTTAAGTTACTAAATTAAAATAAGCACCCTGCTTTCTGAAAGGTAAGGAGATCTGATGGTACTGTAGGTTAGGTCAGCAGTTCAGTTAGTAGTCCAGTGTGACACGGGAGAAAGATTGACTGACGGCCTCATCCGAGTTGAGTTACTAGATGGCACTGGGTTTGGATTTTGTTTCAGAAAGACATTCAATATTTTTGACAGGTTATTACAAGGAAACATACAAAAAATTGAGAGCTTTTAGGTTATTAAAATGTTTCCTAATTGTGAACCTAAGTTGAAATATATGGAGAATTTTGTAGTGTATTTCATTGATACAGCTTTCCACTATAATAGCTTACTCCAATGTAGGTACGGAAGAAACTTGCTCTTTTGAAGAAAATTGACACAAATATGAAAATAGGTAAGAAAGAGCAGATACTTTCTATATCAGTGTAAATGAATAAAACCAGGAAGCAAAGTAGAATTTTAAAGAATCATTTTCTTTCTGCCATTAGGTGGTGCTCAAGGCAAAGTTATTTAGTAGGTAGGATTAATTAAGCTGTAGGAGAATGTAGGCTTTACTGGCTTATTTGAGATCACATGTGCTTACACTATAGGTATTTTAGTTTATCTTCTGAATCTCCTGGTTTATTCATCTAGCGATGTATAACTTATACAGCCTAGCCAGAGAGAACTTAATTCAGATACATACTCTAGTAAATGAGTTGTTTGTTGATACATTTGGAACCTTTAAAGTTCCAAACTAAAAGAATTATAATTTCAAAGTATTTTAACCGAGAAACTAGAAAACATCATGAAATATGATTCAGAGGACTGTTGGCCATCTAGTAGCCCTTTGGGTCCTTCTTGGGACAGTCAGCTGGTGGACTGATTCCTACGGCAGCTACATAGTTTAAAAAGGAGCACAACAGACACACAGGCTATTACAATAAACAACTAAAATGTTCTTCATTCTGGGAAAGTAAATTGTTTTTTGGGGGGAGAGTGGGGGACAAGGATAGAAAGCTATGAAAACGGGGAGGACAAATTACTTGGGTTATTGCTTGTTTTTTAAATGACAGTGAATTACCAGAAATAGTAAAACGTGAGCCGTGAATAAAGCAACTGAGGGTTTTTCTCATCCCAGGAAATCAACAGAACTCCCAAGAGATAGGTTGCTAACAGTTTCCACTGAAGTACTTGTATTTCTGTATCCAGATTCATTAATCTTACTAATTGGGGCAGTAGTCTAAGAGACAACACTAAAGATTAAATGGTTAGATATTTATGTAAGGATGCTAGTTTGGGGGACTGCTTTGAGGAAGTTATGTGGATCTTAGACATTGAGAATTGAGAGACTGGTCGATGTTGTGGCTGGGCTAGAATTCTTGGTAGATTGGCAATAAAACTCCATGATTTAACTTAGCACAGTGTAATTTCTTAACATGGCTCATCTACCCATGTCTCTATGTTTCTAGTAGAAGGCTTGATGATGTGGTTATACATTGGTCTGCTAACCTCAAGGTCAGCAGTTCGAAGCCATTATCTACTTTGTGGGAGAAAGAGGAGGCTTTCCACTTCTGTAAAGAATGACAGACTTGGAACATCACACGCAGTTCTGACCTGCCCTGTCGGGTGACTATGAATCAGCATTGACTCTGGCTGTGAGGATTTTTTTGGTTTTGTTTTTTTGTATTTGGCCCTGTTTCTAAGGAGCTCTGTGGCAAGTTCAGCAGTTCAAACGCGCCAGGAGTTCCTTGGAAGAAAGATGAGGTAGAAAGATTTAAATTATGCTTGGAAACCCACAGGGCCAGTTCTACCCTGTCCTATAAGGTCACTATGAGTTGGAATGGGCTAGATAGCAGTGGACTATGCAAATGGGGCACGTGTAACACGAACAGAGGGGATTGGTAACTTAGTTGCCACCGGCCTGGCTAGACGGATGAACTGTTCTGAACAGAAATCCCAAGACCAGTGGAGTCAAGTTCTCAGTCACTGTCTGATGTGGCAGAGGCTGTGCTCAGACATTCCGGAGGCTGTGGCATGGAGACCATGGGACAGAGCAAAGGACCCAGACTAGAAATTGAGGCAAGGAGACCATGAGATAGAAGAGAAATGCCAGAACTGAGCGCAGCAGTCCGGCTTCCTGGTCTGTGGAGGCAGAGGCCGAGGGACCATGTGGCTGAGAGGCTACAGACCAGAAAGAGACTTGGCTGCTGGCTGAGAATGGATCAATGACTCTATCCTTACTGTTTACTTACTCTGATTTGTGGTAACTTGTTAACTTCCATAATAAACCCTTAATTGTCAGTATTGTCTGTGAGTTGTATGTGTCTTTGCCATAAATTATCGAACCCAGCACAGAAATAGAGTGGTGTGGGAGGAGCGGTTGACGTCAGAAGGGTGAAGTGTGGAGGCATGCATGAGCTCTGCCTTGTGGCACTAGGGCAGCCGGAAGAGGCCCATGCTGTTTTCTACATACAGTGTAATCAACCCGAATCAGATCTGCTGTGGGCAGCCAGTTCGTTCTAAATAGACTGGTGGAATGCAACCCCTTTCTTAGGCCACAGCCCACATGCAATTGAAAGGAAGGTTTTTTTTGTAGGAGTGTGGGGAATAGGCCTACTTTTCATATAAATGGACACTGGGAAACTTTGCTTGCTCTTTGCTGGGTCTGGAACCTGCATCTGGCTTGTTCACCTCCAATTCTTCGGACTTGAGCCAATAACATGCTCAACCTCGTATAGATTGCCTGCCAACACCAGAAGTCATCCCTGGCCTGCTACCTAATCTGACCTTGGATTCATCTGTGTCTGAAGGTTGTGGTCTTCCTGCCGATCTTGAGTTCATCAACTGCCAAAGCTACTTGAATCAAGGGAAGCCTCCAGCGTAACATCTGACCCACGGAACTCTGGATGAGCCTACATTTACATATATATTTTTGCTTCCTGAGAGAACCCAGCATAACAGAGACTAAAGAGGAATCCTTGGAAATTAGTTTTATATGAGGCTAAGTGAAAAAGTATTGGCACAAAATAATAGAAATCTTTGTAAAAATAACGTGAAGCTATTATTTCTTGACATAACCTCTATTTGAGCCTGTACTCTGAAGATGTTTCTATCAAAGTCTTGTGCTATAATAAGCAGCCATCTAAGTGAGGTATCTGTGAAGTCCACACAGAAGCACAGCAGCCTGTGTGATCCAACTATTGCAAGTAATAAGATCTAAATCTGGAGGAACAAACAGTATCAGAGCTTCAATTGTGAACATCAAGTTTTCAGAAAGCTATGAATGACAGCAGAAACCCAACAGCCATCGGCAGAGTCCCCAGTGAATCCTCTGAGCACCGTCCAGGGAGGTGAACAGCCTTCCTATCTGACAGAGAGCTTTGTAAAGTCCCTTATGGCAGATGTAGTGAGGTTCCGTGCAACACCATTGATCATTTGATCTTCCTGGTGATTCATTTTAAAATAATTTCAGCATTTAATGTTTTCTGTTTCTGTTTCAACTGAGCTTTTTTTCTGTCTTCTTTTGCCACTGTTGTTTTGTTTTGCTTCTTGTTTTTGTTTGGCATGATTTTCTGTATATGAAATCCAGGATAGGTAAAGCTATAGAGGCAGTAACTGGATTAATAGCTACCTAGATGCATGAAAGGAGAGGTTGGAGTGAAATAGGGAGCTAACAATGAGTATGAAGAAAAGGTTCTAAAATTGATTGTGATACTGATTGCACATTCTTATAAATAAAATCGAGCGATTTAACTGTATGATATGTGAAGTACTTATTAATAAAACTATTACAAAAAATCATGTGAGAGCAGCACAGCTTTATTGAAGGAAGTACAGTCAGAATGGTCCTTATAAGTGAGAATGGTGAAACTCCATCACACATGCTCTGGACTTTTTACCAGGAGAAAGAAGTCCCTGAAGGAGGCTGGACAAGTAGGGGGTCAGCAAAAGAGAGTAAACCTTCACCAAGATAGATCAGCACAGTGGCTGCTCTACGATCTTAATGTTCTCTGTTTACTTCTCTGGGTTCTAATAGTCATTGCAATGACATACAGAATTCACAGACAAAATTCATGATTAAAGAGTTTATTAAGGACATTAACAAGTTGAAATGCCAGTGAGAAATGCTCAGGGCTCAGTTGTTTATTAGAACATGTTACAAAGGTCTGTCAAGTCTCCTAATAAATGCTCAAAGGACATACCATTATGCTATACCCTCAATCTGAAGACATTCGGTTTAAGCTCCTTGGACCAGCAAACACAGCTTCCTCAATTAAGAGCCCCAAGGCACCCCACTCTAGCAAGCCTCTGCCAAAGGTATCCAGCTCCACTTCTGTGAGTCAGCAAGGCCACCTTCCCCAATGAAGTGCTCACAGGCATTCACTCTGCAAGCCAGCCTCTTTCACAAAAGCACCCAATTTTACTTTGTCCATGGGTTGGGAAGCCTATCACTCTGTTCATTCTCTAGCCCCTGCCTGGTTTTGCGGCACCTCTGATGTCTTCTGTCTGTCTTCTGGATCTAGGAGGTCCACTGCACAGGGACCTCCGATCCAGAGGTCACATTCCACTCCTGGCTCTTGCTGGTAATGAGATTCTCACCTTCTATTTCGCAGAGGGCTCATTTTGTACACAGCAGGATGGCACTGC